TTTTTAAAAATTTTTGTCATTACAGAAAATAAAGAACTTTATCACAATATTCTAATTTTCTGAGACAGTCCTGTATACTCGCATTTTAAAAAACGGGCCGGGTTTGGCACGGCACGCTTAAACCATGCTGCTACGCGCTGCAGTGGAAATGCGCCGTAATTGTAGTAAATCGGTCTATGAGCTCTCACACAACTTATGCAGTACAATGCAAGTCGAATTCATCTTGTTGTGAACTCACTACATCCCAAACAGATGCATTTTCACTAAAACTATGTTATTCAAATCACTTCCACTTCAACTCAGATTAACACAGGCGCAAAACTAAGTGTTTGGCTTCTATTCATCGAAAGGCTTCATTTTTTTGAGGCATTTTAGTCAAGAAAAACCTTTAAAAAGTCTAATGAAAAAGACTTATGACCACAATGTCTTTCCAAGCAATGTGCATGTCTGACTTTAAATTCTTTACACCGACCTGACCACCACAAAACATCTTCTTTTGGGGAATATTTGAAAAACCACCATTTTAGACATTAGCTGCAACTTCCCAGATAGTCGTTCTGCTTTTCTGTAACATTTCAAAAGGCACATTTACATCTGCTTGTCTTTTTCAGCAAGAAGCATTTCACTGAACATGTTTTCGTGGAAAGACGTTGTATTTTGACCTCAAAACATACAGAAATATCAACTAGTGAACACCAACGCACGGTTACATGGACTAGATGTCTCCAGATGTGTGCTGGTTTCTACAGAAGTATGGTCAGCCTCTTTATTATTGAGTCCACTGATGAATTCAAGAAGAAGAACGGTAAACAGGACGTTTCATATCTAACAATATTTTAATAGAAAATGTAATTTTATCAGAAGAAAACCTCACTCACAAAACATTCCCTAAATGACACGCAGCTTAAAGACATCATCCTTTTCAAATGAAAAAGATTGGCTTGAATATTTAATCAAACTGAATGCCGAGAATGAAGTGGGTTAGTTAAAGGTTGTGGTTCAAATTGGGAGATTACAGATGTTGAATCGTGTTAGATATTTAAGAGTCAGAGGGAAAGCACCTGCAACTCGAGTTGACCTTTTGATTATCATCTCTGCAGACCTTCATGAACACTAAGTTCCTGACATTTCATTAGCCTACTTCCAAGCAGCTTCTTCTACAACACCCCCACTCAAACCGTCCCCTCAGCAGCAACAAGTCTCTACTCTGAAGCCGTTAGCAGACATCTGAGATAACATCTAAAAGTCTAACAACAGGAAACACAAGCCGTGCTAAGAATTAGTGTCAGGGTGTGGTTTGACGTAGAGATGGTGAAGATGATAATCATGATTCTGTGTTACCATGTGCTGAAACAAACTTGGCCTCATTTAACCTGAAGGACACATCTACCCAGAAACCTTTCATCATCACGTTTTCTAAGTAATCAAGTCAAAATGCCTTTTTTGTTGTTACTGAATGTCAACAGGAACTGCGTTTATAGATGATTGATTATATCATCACCAAGTAGCTAGACTGATCACAAGATTAGATGCGTCAGGATTTGTCTACTGTAAATGAACGTACTTGGCGGTAGAACAACAAGTCAACAACAAAAAGACAATGATTCGGTGCGTTCACACCTGCCTTGTATAGTCCGGTTGAATCGAACCCTGGTGCGTTTAGCCGCTTGGTGCGGTTCATTTGGGTCGGTGTGAACACAGTCCGAGACCTCTTAAGTGAACTAAACAACCGGACGCTGGTCCGCCTAAAAGAGGTGGTCTCGGAGCGCTTGCTTGCGAACTCTGGAGCGGTTCATTGCTGGTGTGAACGCAGTCCGCACCAAAACATAGGAAGCGTAGTATTTACGTGTCACAAGAACGTGGATGTCTTCAACATCTTTAGCGAAAGAGTCTTTCAAGACATCCGTGGTTGTTTAGTTAAAGAGTAAAGCAGAATTAAGTGTTGAACAGTGTCGTGTAAAGTAAAAATTCTCCGTCAGCTACATAAAAGTAAGAACACCTGTCGTCGGTGAAACGCCCCTCCTGACTGCAGAACGTCTCATTATACGTGTTATAAAGTTTTTTAACGGACGTTGTCTGATTATATAATCATATGTGCGGGCCGCTAGTGTCTGTTGATCTCCAGATTAACAGCAGCATGAGAATAACCTGCCGAAAGTGCCGATGCTCCATGGCGGAGGCTCCGCTAGAAATTGCTGGGATTTGCGTTTTTACCCCCGTAATGTCTGACCAATGGTTGAACAGCATTTCCGAGCACATGACTTGTGTTTAAAGTTTATAGTCCGTTTGAGTTTTGCCCGTGTGAACGCAAACCGAACCTTCTGAAGAATGAAACAATGTAACGAACTGTCGTCTGGTGCGCACCAGAGAGCGGACTATTAGGTCTGAATCCAAAGGGACCACTTTTGCCAATAAATCCCAGCCACTGGATCTTCAAGTAAAGGCCCCGAACACTTCTTCTACCACAAGTTAACTTAGAAAAATATGATGCTCAGCTATCTTTGTATTTAACCTCTGTATATCTGTGTTATATTACATTACATGTCACTTGTTAGACGCTTTTATCCAAAGCAACTTACATTACTCACTTATTGAACTTTTGACCCCCTGATTCGAACACCAACGCACAACCCACTGCACCACACGCCTCTCATATTACATTACATTCAAATTCAATTCAAAGGTTTTATTGCCATATGCACAAAGCTACAGTGTAGAAATGGCCTGAGCTCCTCATTACATGCATGTAGCTTGCACTTTTGATCCAAAGCGACTCAAATACACTTCTAAAACATTCCTATAGAGCAATTTGGAGGAGGATACTTGTTGACATGTTGACTGCCGCTGGTGGAGATCGATGCTATGAAATGTGTGATTGGTAGACCCAACAGCCACACATATCACTGGTTGTATACAGTGGAGGAAATAAGTATTCGATCCCTTGCAGATTGTGTAAGTTCGCCCACTTACAAATACATTAACAGTCTATCGGTTCATTTTAACAGTGAGTGTACTGTTCTCTATGTGTTGTACTGTCTCAGTGTGAACATGAGGCATGTGGCGCAGTGGGTTGTGCGTTGGTGCTGGGATCAGGGGGTCACAGGTTCAAACCCCACTGCAGTCAGCATGTCGTTGTGTCCCTGAGACACTTCACCCCAAA